AATTGTTGATATAAGTATTCAAACTGGGTCTCAGTGTCTATTCTGTTGCATTTTCTTGGGATATGAAATTTGAACCCAAGGCAGAGTGCTTCAGTTTCAATTCGATTTAGTTTTTTATTAGATAAGTTCTGTATGTATTTTCGTGGATTGGTAGGAAATGCCACGTGGGTTTGTTCTTTAACAAGTGTTTTGGTTGATGTCTTCATGAATTTCTGACTGGTTTTCGACTGAACATCACGAATGAAGTTAATAAGTTTAATACGACATATAATATTTAAATCCATAACGATTTTGTCATAACCAAAGGATTCTATTTTAAGTTTGGAGATAAGATCCTTAGTGCATTCAATTTGGGATTTGGTGACACGTCGAAGATTTTTTAACGAAGGAGGTATTTTACAGGCGCGGACAGCTTTAAAAATGTGGCGAGGAAAGCAGCCATCGTTTCTAGCATATATATATAGTTATTATTGTAATCACGTTATTTACACTCATTTATGTCAATTGTTTCACACTATCTTCATGTAAAAATTCTATTACAATTATGGTTTGTAAGCAGCTGACGAGAAACCTCGAAATAATATGAATTCATACTATTCTGCATCAATGTTTGTTCTTGCTTTATTTAAATTCATAAAGGGAACCAATTGCATGAAATTTTTTTCTGGTTAGCTTTTATTAGCGAGTTAGTTTTCTACGCGATGGGGACCCTAACAACATGCCCTGCCCTCCTCATTTATCCGGGCTTTGGAACGTCAGTAGCCGTCAAGGGGTCTATAGAAGGAGTCCGAAATATAAAGTCTAATAATTGTTGAAATCGGCGGAGCAGACGCCAACTTGGAATCCTGGAGGTAAACGGAGAAGATAGGACCAAAGAACACATTGCATCAAGCAGATATGGAAAGGATGGATAGCAACTGGAACGAATTACCCAGGACAGAGTTGGATGGAGAATGCTTGTGGGTGGCCTATGCTCCTTCACGAGTGGTAACAAGCGTAACGAAGCGAATCTTTTGTTGCGTGTTCGCATGTCGGGCTAACTAATATGTAGTGGCGTGCTTCGTTAATCGATCGTCTCGATAACCGTTATTATATCAATCTGAACGGTGTATAATATCAGAAGACAAAGGTAAGCGGCAACTACATTTTTATTGACAAATAACACAGGCTATAAGGCAGTGAGCACATGAGCAAATGTTAGCGAGCGAAGTAAAAATGACATGCATGGGAGATGGCTGGTAAGCCAACTCGCTATAAGCAAGCATTAATCAATATTTATATTCAGACAAAAATGAATGACAGACATATGATAGGTAGGATAAGAAGTGTGCATGCACATACGCTCATATAAAAAAAATAGTCAAGGTCAATAAGCGAGCAATTAACAAGATCAAAATATGACTCATAACGTTATAGGTGAATTGGCTTGTCCAGAAACTAGAATAAGTTATGTAGGTGTAATATAGTACACGACGTTACACTACTCCCCACAAATCATTATTTCCTCGACAAACTTTTCTGTCTGTTTATTCCTATGCTATTTTGATCCGTTATATTATTAGCGAGCATGCCAGTTGATGTTTTTATTAAATAAACTCTCAATATTTTTAATTCGAATGCCAATATAGACTTTTCATATCAGCCACTGGGATCAATGTTACGAACACATAGGTTATATAGTATTAGACTTTGAATAAAGTTTTCCACCAAGTTAGAGCAGAATAGTGTGGGTTTTTGTCTGCTTCATAAGGAGGAGGTTAGATATCATATATACAGAAGGGTTTGATGATTGAGATGCACATAACGTTAAAATTAGGCAAAGTTATTATGTGTATGAACAAACAGAGATGCGTGATATACCTCTTCGTGGTACGGAGGTACGTTTATATTGAACCAACGTCAGTGTCTACAGCTAATTCACATAGACAGTAATACATCTTCTTCAGGGAGATTTTTGGAGAAACTATGAAAGACTATGAGGAAGAACACGGAGACTAACCAACTGAAACCTCCTTTTGAGGAATGACCCTAAAGTCAGTCAAACGAGAATTAAAGGGGGATGGAATGAAAAGACGTGTGAGAAGTAAAATCGATGTACTGTATTCTGTGGAATATAAACCGACTAATGGTCATCGAAGATGTACAGCGCGAAGTGCTCAGATGTGATCTAGTATGGATATTTAACTAGAACCCCACAGCTAACGGATAGAAGTAATAATGTCAGCATCAGTACCAAAGTTTCGCTACTTACTTTGAAGACTTACCAAGCAGTACGACTAAAATTATTGTCTGACTAGCCAAACGATTGGTACACCTGGATCAAGTATCGTGGACTTCGAAATATCGAATTGAAAATATTTTTTACCAAAAGTATATGATCAACTATATAAGTAACTTTGATAGACCTATAACTGTTGACAATAGAAAATCCATCATGATAATACAGCGATTACAGTGCTGTAACAAACAATTACCACGATGCCCATTTCTATAAAGTTTTAAGGGCACTTACGATCATTTTTAATATTCAAAACTTTCATTTTAACAACTTTACATGACAAGAATTCATTTTAGGCAGTCCTAGAGTGCAAACCTGGCGATATGAGCAACTTTATTCAAATAAAAGGACGTATACGGAAATTCCGCTATTTTTAAAAGAACTACTGAATATGAAGCTTGCCAAAAGTAATTGTAGTTTTCCACAGTGCCCAATGTACCTGTTGTTCGGTTTTTCAACATCACTCAGTTTCCTCACTTTAATCTAATTTGCAGAACATGAGAAGTGGTGTTGCACTTTAGGTTTCGTACACCGATCGCCCTGATAACCGTTATTAAACAGATTTCAACAGTGTATGGACCCAGTTCACATAAATAAACCACAGGCACTCCAAGCGAATTCGAGTAGGAATGCAGACAGAAGCGAGCGAGAAAGTGGATGCAGAGGCGAATTAAGAGTCGAATAAAGAATCGAATAGAGATTCGAATCAATTAATAGGATTCAAACACATAAATATATATGAGAAAGCGATTCGAAGCAGAGAAGGCAAGTGGGCCAACTTGTGTCGATAAAGCGATATTCAATATTTAAAGTCAGACAAAATTAAGCCACAGACATGTATGTTGAAAAGGCTAAGAAATAGACAAACATACGCTCATACAAAAGCAGTCTATGTTAATAAGCGAGTAAGTGTGAGGGTCAAAATGTGGCTTGAGAACAATGAATGAACTAGCCTGTCCGGAAGCTAGAACAACACACGTGGGTTTTATAATGGTACTAGACACTACAACAGAAGAATAAGCTATCGAGCAAAATCTGTTTAGCATTCAGTAACTTCATGATCAGTACGACCTCGAGTTTCTTTCAGAGTACAATGTATCACATGCATTTCACTAATACTGTCCAACGGGACAGGGTGTGTTCGTGAATTTATAGTACGTCTACCCCTTAGTGTTCAACATGTGTATCACATCTAGCATTTCACTGTCCATTCAGTGAGTCAATACTGACTATAAGAGGGAAATCCAAATTAAGAAATTCAGTTAAAGCTATAACTTTCACTTTATTTTTTATTATTTTCTAATCAGTCAAGATGCAATATAGCAGCATACCGATAGAAGATATGTAAAGATATTTTAAATTGATTGAACTAAATCCAACTTGAATAAATGAAATTTTGCGTGGAGGACTGAGCATTAAATAAACGAAACGAATGATCAAAAAAGACACATCTCACTTATTTCGAACACTAAAAGAAAATGGCAATCTTCACAATTGTTCAGCAATTGGTTTAATCACACTAAAGGTAACTGTGAAATTACCATTGTTCATTACGTTCAAGCCTCACCATTAAATATCTTCCTAGCTCGATCAGATTTCTAATCTTCCTTGTTCCTCCAATAGTGTCTACGTCTTTGAAGACAAGTTTGCATTTAGTAGGGGAAACACGGATTAAAATAGAAATGGACTAACCAAACTATTTATTGTGATAAATCCACGTTATCACCTAATTAATTAGCGCGACCATTCCAAGTAAACTGTGTTAGGAAACTTTGGTATTTATACTAACTGATGATTTCTTAGTATTTGAATGCCAAATCCCAAAGACAATATGTTCATTTGTGTTCATCAAATTCTACCTGTCTAACATTGAACTATTTCGGGAATTCTCAGTTAGTGAATCGATTCGAATACTTCTAATTATCATAAAAATCTGACGTCTAGTGATCAATCTACTTCTGTTGAGGAAACAGAAGAGTTTCCCAACCTGATTCAGGTGAACCAGAATGAAAGTACAACGTGTGAAACTCATTTCTGGAAATGGTGGCAATGTCACTACAGCTCAACTTTTTAAAAAATACTACTTGCTTCGGAACTAATTTTATCTTATAACCAAGCTGCTTTTGCAAACTTATCAAATACCACTGTTAGAATTTTAGCTACTTCATACACAAAACCTATTTCTGATAGTTAGAAAACATCTCAAGAAGCATCTGCTTTACGGATTTCGGTCGATAAATTTTGAATGCTAGAAAATAATTTGGAGAGCCCACTAAATAAGGAGCTGGTGTTGCTTCAAAGGAAGTGCGGTTTTCACCAACCTGGAAACAAAAACCTTCAAAACTCGCCTTGATAACCAACTAAAAAAATAACAGTGTCAACAGAAATGGTTTACCCCCCCCCCTAGTATTAAAAGTGAAAATTAATATAAAACATCTTAATGTGGATAAATCGGAGTAAGTTTTATCGACTCAATAATTCGGTGGTTGTAAGCACATCTCCAGGTAAGAGAAATTTATACCACAACAATCAAAATGCGTCCACATATGATGTAATGAAAGAGGGTTATTTTACCTGAAGATTATACTGCAGCCGCCAGACAACACAATCACAACTACTTAGGAAAAAGTGGTAGCATGATTGTACTCTAAATTTTCCACACTTAAAGACATCGTTTGAACTGACATAATCCCCTCCCCACCAAATAAGTGAACAGATGGAATGAAAGGCCATGGTGTAACTATGTATATTTGCAGAAACTAATATTCTTCGAAAGTAAGACTGGAAAATCGGTAAGACAAGTAGAAATTGAACAGATAGTTAACAGTACTATAATCTTCACAATAAAGTTATACCACTATCCAGAACTAACCTTATGAACCATGAATAAACCGCTCAAAATCTAGGTTAACTAGCCGAAATGACTTAAAATGTGAATAATAAATAAACAAGATAGAGGAAGATCAAAAACATGAATAGTAAACTATTTGAAGTTTGCATACCACGCAACCAATAATGAATTACAGAAGTATGAATCACTTCCATGTATAATTGTTTTTGTTACAATCCAGTATTTATAATTTTAGTTTTCAAAACAAAGTATTTTAAAACAATATCCAAATTTAAATGCATTGCAGATAAAATGTTCAGTAGTAACTGAGGTGGTGAATGATAACTTAACATTCATTCGATTTCAAGCTCCTTGAGCTTAGTAAATTAACTGTTGATCCTAAAACGACTGATTTGTTCCTTTAGTTTTCTGAAATGGAACAACCAAATTGCATACATAAAAACCAGAGACAAAGTTATGTAAGATTATTTGACAAAAAATGTCTAAATAATATGTACATATTTACACCTGTTACCACTCATGAAGGAGTATAGGCCACCTACAAGCATTCTCCATCCAACTCTGTCCTGGGTAATTCTTTCCAGTTGCTATTCATCCTTTTCTATGTTGAAGCACTGATTCAATCTATTATCATTTCTATCACTCCTAGTATACCTGTAATCTTATTATTAATTTTTAAATTTTACTCGTTATGTGTAGCTAAACAATCTCTTTCAATGTGATCATTGACTGGTTCGATATTATTTTAAGATATGAATATAAATGTTATTAAACATTAAAGCCTGATGAAGGTTAAACTGAACATAGTACGATTCAGTTATATATGTTGTTCTAGATTACGCTACGAAAGTTTTCAATATGTTAGAATCACATGGGGACCCAATCGCTAAGATCTTGCAAAACGATCTTTGTCATTCAATTCGTATCACTCGATATTTTTCTAAGAGCCGACAATTGTCTGAATAATGAAAGAGCATTCACAAATATTTCATAATAAGCTAACCATTTAAATGTTTCTTTTAAAGTTTCCAAACTATTGAAAAATAATCTATATCAGTAGATCAAACAATAGATCATTTTTAATTAAGTGATAATTATCTCGGAATTTCTAACTTAGATTCCGTTATGACTTGTGGTCGACTGTTACGATCGTGTCACTAATTGTTATATTTGGTGGTCGCGTATTGTTATATCAGAATCGTTTATTACATATACTAGTAAAACGAGGAACCACCGCTATTCCTACGACGAGAAACTAAGAACACAAAGACTGATGAAAGTGAAGGTTTATTAACCGCAAAACACGATGACGACCCTAAACTAAAATACACTTATTTATCATAGTTGAAATCATGAGTCAATTGAAGCTAGACCACCATGGAAAACCTGGAAGCACTGCTTGACAGTCGTTTCGTCCTATCATGGGACTCCTCAGCAGTGCGCACCCACGATCCAGCCTCGCGGGATTCGAACCCAGAACCCACCAGTCTCGCACCAGAGCACTTAACACTCATTTATATAGAGTTATACACCCATTTTGATTATTAATTAAGATGAAATCACATATATGAAAAAATAATTAGAGTTATAACAAATCATATTCTAAATATCATACTGAGCCTAGTTCATTTTAATTGAATACAAGAATATCATATTTTGAACAAACATATCACAATGAGTAAAACAATATTAATTTTGCTTTTTGATCCGAACATATCAGATCCTAACGACATTGTAGCATTATGAAAGTAAATAAATTAAGTCATGTTAAACAAACAGCTTACTTATTAGGTTTCGATTCCATTATACGAGTATAGAAAAGGATCTAGAATATTAAATTAGAGAAAATATAAGCATAACAAATGAATAATAACTAGTTAATGTATAATGTTTCAGTAGGTAGTATTGATGGCAAAACAAATAAAAGGAACTTTTAACAATGATTTTATTGAATGACCATTTGACTGGTTGTACTGTCAGGAGTAGATGAGAAATACATGAAATCATATTTCATACAATTAGTCTCCTTGATAAACTTTAATAAAGTGACAACAACAAAGAATATGGGATGAAATGAAATCACTTCATCCAACAATATTCGTTCTAATTTTTACAGAAATTATAGTTTAATTGATTAGGTAAATTGATTTAAGTAAAGATGGATAGAAACTACCAGTGAAATAAACACTGGAATGTAGTTAAATATAATTCACAAGTCCCAACCAGAAAGAGACGCGTGCCTAGGGTCTCATTGTAAATCATTATCCATAATTAATTAAATAATTGTGAGTTAACAACGGTACCGAGACAATCGGTTCGGGATGTATGTATGTCAAACGTGACTGATTAAAATGCAAACCTTAACAACAAAAATGTATATTAAAAACCAAAAAAGAAACAGTTTTAAGTGATGCAGTAGACAAAAAAACAACAAAACAAATGAGCATTTTACCAGAAAAACGTTCAGTAAGTATAATGAGAAATCTTATAAAGACGAATCACAAATTTCAGTAAATAGTTTACCTAAATCTGAAGCTAAATTACTTCGTATGATTAAATACATAATCAATAAACATTACGAACTACTGTTATACATTAATCTGATGTCTTAAAAATTCATGCAGTTCCAAAACTATCTAGTTACAAAAACAATGTACATAGTCTAAAACAGGAATAAGAGTCTAGATTATTATCAGCATAGGGTTGTGAAGATTGTTCAGTTCTGATTGAGATCATAAATCGATCAATGTTAGACAGCTACTGAAAGCACTGGACGGCCGTTTCGTCCTAGTATGGAACGCTACGTCGTGGACTGGTTCAAGTTACGGATACCAGCTCAGTGGTCTAGAGGTTAAGAGTTCGCGAGAGAGACCAAATGTCCTGGATTTGAATCCCCCGTGTGGTAATATGGATGCGCACAGCTGAGGGGTTCCGTGTTAGGTCACAACGGCCGTCTAGTGATTCCAGATTTTCAATAGTGGTCTAGCAGTGATCGGTTCATGATCTTAATCAAAACTCTAGAGTATTACGTTATAACGTTATTGTACCAACTAAGTTAAACAGAAAATCTCCGTCTTAGTAGACATAAATGTGAAAATCAGTAAATGGCAAAACGGTAACAAATAAAACGTATTTATACAAGTGAATATTGTTAGCAGTTTGAAACGGATAGGCAAAACTAGAAAATATTAAATTCTTGAAAAATGAATGAATCTTATCATGTAACCAAGCAGAGTTTCGTGTTCTCGACTTTACGTCACACTTTCAATGTGAGAACTATGATGATACTAATCAGCATTGCAAGTAGAAATTATTGAAACGAACATTAACACTATGATGATACTTTTTACATACACAACAATTAATTATACAATACAACTGAGTTACGAATACATATATATTCTGTCGATAAAATTTCTTAGAATTCTTCATCCAGTCAGTTAAGTATAGGAGTTTAGGTTAACACACACATTATATCAATTATTCAAGGACCTTGGTTTACATTTAAAATAAGTGTTAACATGGCTACCAATGTCCCAAATAGTATAATTAAATGATCACAGTATTGAATTCAAGATTATGACAAAGCATGATCAGTCAGATTTTACTTTGAAACACTTAATCTTCGCATTACATCTGTATCTTCCATATAATAAATCACTAGAACATTTTCTCAGTAATAATATTGATAGTGATCACTCCATTTGTTGGATAATTTAATGTACTATAGAATCACTGTCTGTTAATAGTGTTTAATCAACTTACTTGAGTTTTAACAACTTAGTGAGGCCAGCAATGGTCAAAGAGACATTTAGTGAAATTATTTTTTCAACATCTCAAGATGATTAACTTATCAGCATTGTTATACATGATTTGATTTTGTCCTAATCTCTTAAGAAATATAAAATCAGACTGTCTAATGACATGTAAAGAGTGAAATTTATGTGAAGTCTTGTCTCTATCATATCAACCCAGGAGCACACTTCTATAAATTAATGAACTTAAACAAGACAATCTTAAAATGATGCATATGATAGATAATTATCAATTGAATTATCAAAAGAAATCAAAAATGAAGTGCTCTTTTGTTTAATAGCTTTATCTTCGCCAAAACTAAGTACACCTCATGAATTTAGATAAACTAATTCCAGTAAAATGTGGTTCTTTTATGAGTAGTATAGTCCTCGTTCAATAGATCAGACTTGATAATTTGATTATAATCTTATAAAATGTAGTCTTTACTTGGTGATTAAGTTTCCTCCGCCGATATCAATTTGCTAAGTGGCTTATTTTGAAACATACATGAATAGATATATATAATATTGTGTGAAATTGATCGAAATTTACCGTTTGTGCCCATCCAGAATAATTTCCCCAAAAATCACTAAGTGACTTTGAAATAATATCATATGATTTTGTAGTCATGGTTTTACAGGATGCTTCGGGAATTCCTTTCTCACGTGCAACACGATGCATATGGACATCGATAGGGACAACATCTAGTTTATCTAACGACATAAGACATATACAATCTGCAACCTGTGGAAACACAACAATAACAGAAAGAGGGAATAAAGTTTACTTTCAGAAAAAAATTGATGAATAAATAACAGTAAAAAGTAAAACAAGCAACAAAAGTGTATTAATGTTGTGCTTCAATATCTCCTATACGATATACACTTGACAAATTTAACGGCTGTGTGGTCTTCTAACTCAGTTTAACGAAATATTGGTACTATCAATCAGGATAACTTTCGAAAGTAATGCAACAAACACAAGGCAAAATTATTACATAGAGAAAATACCGTTTATAAACACCATATATCAAAATTGTGGTAAAGGCAAGAAAATATGGAGGCAATTTTCAATTGTACATGCTCTATCAGATAGAACTAACGGAGAAAACACCGATTATCAGAAATAGATTAAAGTTGTTTAAGAAAAAAGAAAGTTTTAAGATTTTACTTCTAATTGTACGAAAGTTAGGCAACCATGGGAATTAAGCTAAAATACTATTGAAAACTCTTTTCACACAACTTAAACTTATTTAGCAACAAAACTACAATTAAATTTACAATTATTTGCTAGGAAAAAGCATAAAGTATATCACATATTTCTTCGAGAATTGATTTATGAACTCTAAGCATTCCACATAGGTATGGATAACTGATTTTTAGAAACATCAGTTTATTAACTAGGTAGATACAAATTTAGATAGTCTCTCATCACAAGTTGACATAACCTATTGTTTATCACTAAAAATCAAAGAGCACTAAATAGTTCTTTTTTCTGTGTAATGAAAATTGACTTCAAGTTGGATAAAAATTTAAATTCTAATATTGAAAGGATTCAAGACGAATTCCAGAAGGTCTAATGAAAGTTGGTGATATGTAATGTTCACTCATGTAGGAAGTAAGACTGACATTAGCATCGATAACAATACATGATGATTTCACCTGTATACTAAATTGATTGGAGTTGGCTAATCTAAATATTTTAATACAAACATCATGAATATGAAAAAACTCAGTTTTAGCGATAAAACACTTATTTTCAACGAATTCTATATCTTGACTTAATATTAATATACAGGTATAAAAATGAATACCAAATACATTGTAATGAATCAATTAACCATATATATTTCAGTAACTCAACGGTGTAAACTCGAGACAAAATTACACGACTGTTGCTGCGACCTTGACGTGGTGGTCATGCTTGCCTATCGTGATGAACCAATCAAGCTATACTGACTGGAAAAACCGTTCCTCAAGGTCTTACCATGCCAGACAGGTCGGTTGAAGAGCGGTAAGACTAAAAGCAGCAAACCCAAGGTCCGAAGTCGTACTGTCGACTGTACAGAGGTGTGAAGACAGTAGGTTGTTTCCTTCAGACAACCAGCATAACAGCGATGCAGCCTTCCCACAAGGAGGGGTGGGGTTAGAAAAGGTCGACCCTAAAAATGCAAACGTCGTCCTATCCCACTCATATCCGTCTCCGGCGGTAAAGTCCTTTGAAGAACGGAGCTAACACAAAAACTACCCACAAAAGGGTCGTGTGTGACCGACCTTAAGCAGTAGTCCTTTGGGCACTGCGGTCATGCTCTCAGACCACTTCTAATCCAATTTCCTTTTCATGTACCCCTAGAAAAACCCTTCCACGGTGTCGGCAACCGGGAAGTGATAACTGCCGGCATACCTCTGACAGCATTTAAGACCACTAACTGACACTAGTTGAAAATTGTATCCAAATATGCTAAGATTAAAATAGGAATCAAGGAATGTAAGAGTAAGTTGAAAATTACTCATTTCAATGTATACGTTTAGTATTATTGGTAAAAATATTAATAAGTAACTATTGGGAAGGATGAAGAGAAATTAAAAGAACCAGATTACCAAAGGAAATAATATTAGAATAAAGTTAACAAATAAGATTGAGCAAAATTAAGAACAGCAAGCATCATCTTGTAATTAATTAGAAGAGTCTGGAAAAACTTTTTCTGCACACGAGGAGTAGATTTATCCATGTGCAAACCCATGGCTTCCACTTTACACGAAAACGAGATCTGGAAGTGCAGTGTACGCTTGATAGAATTCTACACATAACTTAGAAAGCTAACTTTGTATCGATTGGGTGACCTGTATCGACCAACTGTGTCAAAACATAGCTTCTTAAGAAATATCACGAAGTATTTAACTGATTGTACGTTCAATATAATATATATTGAATATATGTACCATTGAATTATAACTCAATAATCGAAAGATATCCATCTTGCTGTGAGATCTGAAGGTTAAGTTTAACCCCGGATCACTAGTTTGTACTGCTAAATAATTTTAAGCTACAATGACAAAGCCATCTACTACTCGCGTACTTTAAATGGTTCCTCTAGTAATATGCTAGTTCGCAATAAACGATAAATTGAAATCTATGGACAATGATTAGTATAGGAAGAGATGAAAATAAAATATCCATAGAATTCAGTATTTCAAGTGGTTTAAAATAACTGCTCTTGAATGCTGACGAGAGGATAGTGTGGTAAATCAGTATTTGAAACATTTGAATGCCAACCATGAAGTCAGAAAATTTGCACTTCATCGTGTACAATTTGGTCAGGAAAACAAAGCAGTGTTAACCATAGCATTGAAAGTATTTGAAATATAAGGAAGAACAAAATCAAATTTAATGACCTTCTTTCCGATCCCAGGTATTTGAAGCAGAAATGCCTGAGCTTCAACATGGGACATGGAACGAAGTTCAAGTAGACGAGATCGACCTCCATTTTTCAAAAGCCAGTTGGCAGCAAGTCTGAAATAATTCAAAAATGAGAATATTCAGAAGAAGGCTCGTAATTCATGTACAAATAGATTTCAGGTATTTAGAAACAATTCTTCAATCCATTTCAGATAGATACGGTAAAGAAGAAAGTATTTTTCCTCATGAGTATAAATTAGACATTTACGAAAAGTATATCAGCTGTTAAGATCATTAGTAAGGGGATCCAACGAAACATTACAAGATGAGAAGATTAATAAACCTCTCATGAGGCTTTATAAGGCCACGACAGAAGCCAAAATCCATGTCACTTCGTTTACAAAAGTCTATGTTTTAACGCTGATAATATTAGGAATTGGAATGATCACCCTTTATCAGCATATGCGCATCCTAAACCGACTGTCTCGACAGTACTTTAGTAACAAGTTACAACAAAGTCAGATTGTGGCTAGAAGTGAAATACACGAAGTGCATTTTGTCTCATAACTAATGCTGACGATCAAAATGGGACTCAGACTTAGTACATTACGCCTTAAACTCCAATCCATTATCCATCAAGCTAATAAGCCCAGATAGTCACTAACATGTGGGAAAATCAAATCAAACTCGTTGAACATACCATGGGATACATAAACACAGTAGTTCAGTGAGTAACGTGCTAGTGTTTGAAAAAAACATTTCGTTTCACTGTGAACATCAATATTCGGATGCAGGTACATTCAATTCACGAATCCCAAATACGACAAAACATTCATCATGGGCACCGCTGCGAGCTACAATCCAAATTTACCGAGTGGTCATTTTTGCTATCACTCAGACACCAGGTGAAACACAAATTATGTGCATATACGCACTCATGAAAACAACGCATAGTAAATTACAAATACCATTTATGTTAAGAAATTGACTAAATGTGTTGTAATCGAAATAATTACTTAATCTTTGAAAGATCAATGATGAAATATTAATGACTATGTTCAAAGTGAATGCTTAAAACTGAAGTCACACCCTACGAATGGCAACTATAAACTATATCAATAAACATGAACAAATCATTCCAAATAAACATATCTTTTCTGATCGAGACCGATAGGTCCTGGATCCGAATCTCGCGAGGCGGGATCGTGGATGCACACTGCTGAGGAGTCCCACACTTGGACGAAACGGCTGTCCAGTGCTTCCAGGTTTTCAATATTAGTCTAGATTCAATTGATTCATTATTTCAACTATATAATATTTTTAAATTAATTAACATTATTTATGGATTTTACATGATTTGAGCAAGTGTTAATATGGAATTAATTGAAAAATTAGGAAAATTAAAGTTGTGACTAATAAAACATTCAATAGTCATTTAAACTTCATCATAAATTAAAGTTGATTTGTGAAATTTGAAGAATGAGAGAGAGAAGTACTAGACACTTGGTTTACTACGATATAAAATCGTTACAGTACTGGTCACAAATGACTCGATAGAAGATAGAAATTCAGGACCGTTCAAAATATACCGGCTTACATTTTTAAAACTCAAATAATTAATGATCTAATGAATTGATGGGGAACCAACTCATTTCGTGAACTTCACAAAACTTCTTATTAAAATTTCTAGAAAATTATTTTAAAGAAATTTATTAGCAAATAAAAAACCAGTAAGACAGGTGGTTTATGAAAAAGAAGTGGTAGTGAAGACTTGAAGCTCAGAATGATGGTTTTAGGTGGAGTCTATAAATTGTGATTCGAAGTGTTGCATAGTTTGGGATAACTATTTCCGATATCATTGTCGTGATGTTGATGGTTATAAAGTCGATGAGTGCTAAAGATAAACGGTCATATGTGCATAGATGTTAAAAATAACTATCGTTATATATTCACCAGGGTGGACCCAAAAAGACCTGTCTAAATATATTTACGTTTCTATTATACCAACTGGTTACGTATTACAGTCACCAGAAGCGATCACTACACCTGAGGGTCTTACTTTTGATATAAGGGTAGAGAGTTTCGATAGAATGTACCATTTACTTCCTCCATGCTACAATTAGAAAGCTCTTAGGCAGAAAAGTTAGTGGTGTTTAACCCTACCTTTCTGAGTGCTACTTATATCACAGTCTGACAGCTGGCAAAACCTATCAACAAGGATTCATTTAGGACGCGTCTATTCTATTTTCAAAATTAGTGGCATACCTATTCCCATCAGGAATACAGGAAGTTACTGACGGATATCCAGATACAAGAAAAAAATTAATCAAGCGAGTTGACTATATTAATTGGATGAAGTTAAGCGGATGATGAAGCTGGGATCTCGTTTGCATTTTTCCCAGATGCATCTCACATAGATGACACGAGATTTTAAAGGCTTACTAAGTGAATATACCTGATACAAAATTCAGCCATTTAAGAGTCATTTTATAAAAAAGCAATCGGAAAGTATATCGATATACTGATAAAACAATATATTGGATTCCAGTGAGCACAAAAATAATTGTGAATAGTGAACACGTACGTAATAAACTTGGAACGATAACCAAAACCAATTTTTTTCAAATTATCCTGCATACCAGGTTGTGCAAGTATTTCAAGTGATGGAAATGTCCAGTGCCCTAGATCACCATTTTCCAAGTACAATGGATTACCATATTCACTACACAATTTACAAAGTAATTTGGTAATTCTTGTTAGATTATTATTAGCTGATGTAATGAAAGAGAATAATGTTTCTTCTGGATCTTGCCTTAACAAGCGTAAACCACGTGCTGTATCCATTTGACAATTTTTAGAGAAACGATTCTCAAACCATTTGTCCTTCATAGACCATTCCTTTACTAGATTAGACAAATTCATATCCAATCTAAAGTAATCACGTAAATCAAAAGGAACATCGTTTAATTTTATTTTCGAATTTTTCTCAAGATAATATTCAACTGGGTTAGAATCCTCCATTTGACGTAATCGCCATAAGTGACCATTTATTACTCCATGCCATTCATTCAGAGTTGAATTAAAAACCCAGCTATAATATGTAGAAACAAATGTATAAGTTTTAACAGTAAATCTACTTCATGAGAAACAAATATACTTCAGTTTGTTTAACGATTTGCAGAACTAAAAAGTATTGAATGTAGGAAATGAAGCTATACTTAGAAGCTATATTTAGATGTTTCAACTTTCAAATGTGATTGAAATGTACCTATACAAATATTCAGTGGTTGAAAGGCTGAGACAAAACCCTTTGATTAGTCCTTAACGTTACTCATTTAAACTTGGAAAGCGTCATCTTTCATTTCAACACAGAACAACAAGGTTGAACTCTTGATAAAAGATGGATTGCATATGATTACTGGTAAGGCTGAAAATCAGGCACAACATTACTTATAGATGCATGACAAAGTGATATTAACAAAGCCGAGTGGAGTATTCTCTATACGAACCGCCTTGATAATGTTAATACAATAGTAGATTGGATGGTGATTTACACAGAAGATGCAACAGTTCTTAATTCCATTATCAATAGTTAAGATAAAAATAGTACCATGATAAGGACACTAATATTAAGATATATTTTTCAAAATGATACACCATTCAAAATGTGACTGAAATCTTTGTGGATATATGATTATTATTATTTAGCTCAGTTACCGTTCACTATCTATAATTAGACATGATCATCAGAAAGTTAACCTACAAATAATCAGTAGTATACAATAATAAACCCAAGTCACAATTGTCTAGACAAATAGGTTTAATGACATCTAAGCTATAGTAATAATTTATACTGTAATATACAACCGAACAATCTGAACTAAATAATACACATTGTTCAATAGTTAAAACATTGGAATTATAGCGTTAGCTCTACTATTACTCTATACATACTGTCAAGGTTTTATGTTATTTATTTCTGTCTAATAAATCATAGTTGAAAGCGTGAGTCAATTGAAGCTAGACCACCATGGAAAACCTGGAAATACTGGACGGCCGTTTCGTCCTATTATGGGACTCCTCAGCAGTGCGCATCCACGAACCTGCTCTCGCGAGCGAGATTCGAACCCAGGACCTACCAGTCTCGAGCCGAAGCCCTTAACCGATAGACCACTGAGCTGGCATCCAACGGTGTTAATGTCTAACTTCAACTGATCCACGAAGTTGAGCAACCATTCACCAATTGTCTTCAGTGAGTTCCTATCTCACAACAGACGTGGTTTTGAACTCCACTGGTCACTGCTTCTCACTAGAGCTCGCTCGCGAGAACAGGTTCGTGGATGCGCACTGCTGAGGAGTCCCATAATAGGACGAAACGGCCGTCCAGTGTTTCCAGGTTTTCCATGGTGGTCTAGCTTCAATTGACTCACGCTTTCAACAATGATAAATACTAAATCTCCACAAAACCCCTTCTATAATTAATAAATCATAGTTGAAATAATCGTTTCATTATATTTTTGTTAAAATAACTATTCTTTCTTCAATTGTATGAGATTTATGTTTTGGAAAGAAATAGTTCACATCATTAGTCAATAAAATTGGTAATGAGACTATGATTAATGGACGACTTTTAGGTGACGCTAAAGTGACTTTAAGAATGTTCACCTACTAACTAGTACTAAATGATGGTTAAAAAACGGTGTGATTCACAGTTGATGGTCAGAGTTAAGAACTAGATTTAGGGTTTTCATCACGAACTATAATACTTAAACGCTATTTAGCCAAATTGATGAATGAATTTCGCCTTAAAATCCAAAATCTGTTATCTTATGTCTGATTGATTCGTTCATAAATTTTAGTTTCACTAAACTTATTTCTTAAGATAAACAGGAAAGGAAAAACGATTTCCTCATGACAATTCCGGAATATATATCGTACTCCACAACCTATGTATAACAGTGTATCAGTTGATATTCTTATTTGCTTAACGACTTAATCAACAGAGATTGGGAAATTCAGTTAGGTATGCTAATATACCAATCTATTCAGTTACTGGTCTTTTAAAACTATAAAGTTTTGTAGACTTAATTGAAACTCAGAATATAAATTCTACACACTAAAACAATCATTTGTAAGTAAAACTGTATATACATCAAGAGGATTTTCTTACCAAACTAGAAGAGACAGGTCACGTCTAGACGTGAAGAATGACTAAAAAAACAGTCAGTTATTATAGAGATTGTAAAGAAAACAAAACCGGAATAAAGTGCAAACATAACTCACACGAAAAGACCATCATTATTCACATAAAGAGGAATAATATCAAGCATTATTTTGAGAAATAATCTACTAAAAATATTCCTCCTTTATTTTTCTCACGAATAGCTACAAAACCATTTAGTACAAAAAATTAGTAGTAGCGAATTACAGAAAAGCATGATGATAAATACGAGGCTTTCACTTGTTAGTTTTAACACAAATGTCTTTTTTGCTTTTAGAAATAAACCTAACAACCAACGATTTACGGGGCATTCACAACGTGTTTAGTACAGCAACAGCCGTATTTCTTGAGTTATTGATAAAATAGATGGTGATTAACATCCATTACATACAATGTTACACGGAATAAAAATTATTTAAAGAAACAGCTTTTTATGGAGTAAAACGTTTAATAATAAGTTGGTAGAACGAGTTTTATTATACGATCACTTGTATACTGCTTTTCGAAACTCTACAATTAATTTGTAAATCTAACGAAGATATGAATTAGTAACCTCTGCCTAAAAAAATTTGATCGTGTCACACCGAAATCGTACTGGAGGGAACAAATTGTACCCTTTATTAACCAGTAAATTCCAAACAAATCATTATTTCTTACGTGAATACGGTGAAAATTTCAATCTCTACCAAAGATTTGTATCCTTCAGTAAAAACGTTGATAAACAAAGGGATAACAACAAACTGTCACTATATAATTAGTGAGAACATGTTGAACTACTTCAGGGAATTTTTTCAATACTGAACACTAAAAGATTATGAGAAAGTTATTTCTCTAAGTTGTTTTTAATAAGGTAGCTCAGAACTAAACTACATAGACATGGATAAATAAAATGTATTCCGAAGATTAAGTGAAATATCTTAATATAATACGAAAGGTATTTTTGAAAGTATAACATCAGTAAATTATAAGTTAGGAAATTGGATACTGTTCAGAATATCAGCTAATTTATCTGGGCAATTTTCTTGACACTAACAATATCAATAACAGACAAGTACATAACAAAACTTTATTTGTTAAACACTTTAGAATGAGATCCCATTTAACAAAACTTTCCACTTCCCTACTTTGATGTAATACAAATAAAATCAATATCATTAGTTCCCTCAAAGAAATATAATTCACTTAAGTTCCTAAAAAAGTGATACCCACCGGAAAGCTTGACCACTATTTAAAGTCGAAAACAAATTGAAATCCTGTGGATCTACAGGAATTGAATGCCAATTATTAATTTGTTTCTAAAACAAAAGTATAGGTCAATGGAAGACAATTTTCAATCTCAATATTGGCTTGTCTTGTTTTAAAAAAGCTAAAATATAAATTTCGAATTAAGCATCAAGTATTTGATTTGCGAATAATTCAGTAAGTTTGAATTTGAGAAGCAATATAGAGAGTTAGCGTGAACTTGTGTCACAAACTTTCTGACACTTAAATAAACTGAAGTCGAATTCTTTAAAAAAAAGCACAACAATCATCAGTGACTTACCATGATGCTTCGAAAACTGTAATACCTTTTTAAACACATTAACTGAGGGTAGTTATGCAAATAACTGAAGACAGAAATTCAGCCTACGAGGATGTAAATATCTATACAACTGAAATGGTATGAACATTTCCTCATCAACAATGTAGAAGTGTGGTCAGACGAAAACGTGGCATCAGTTCATGAAATCACAAACTGTTGTACGGGCCTATGTTGTTTAATCGTTAAAGAATGCTTAGTTGGAGTTACCGCGATAAGTGACTGAAAACGTCTAATGGCATGGTTCAGAATCGGTTACAACAGGACAGGCACATCTATTCTTTAAATTCACACCATTACCTTACAAATTAAGCTCTATCCTTTGTCATTATAAAGGTCAGACATTTTTCATCATCAACAGTGTGCATACACACACACACAAGTTTACATACATGACGCTTATGAATCACCTTGACCGAAATGACATGACATTGACTTTTTGATTGATCGCAGCTAATATTCGTATTGTTCCGTTGTACTATTTAAACTGGGATTAATTTTAATTTGGCTATTTAATCCCTGAAGAAGTGGCTTACGCTAAGTCGCGAAACGTCAGAAAATCTGATTTTTCTACTGCTTGGGATATTACAAATATATACTATGTATTCTTTATCTTAGTCTGGACCTTAACTTTCAGTATTCCTCTGATCCTTAAGAACCTTATTTTCAATTATTAGTTTTTACTATCACCATCGTTACCACTATTATATACTCTCCATCGATATTCATCTCGTCGTGATTTTGGTATGAAAACTTGAACTAACGCACGTACTGAAACAAATTTAGAATGAAGTGAGCATAAATTAATTCATCACATTACGAATCATGAAATATAGACATATGTACATCTTATCTTCTGAACACATTAAAACCAAAACTTGTTTTATAATACTAATTTCCAGTAGTTTCTACAATATCATCTACACGATTATGTAGGTAACTGAAGCAAACAACACACTAATAATATGCATTATAATCAAAAGGGGTTTTGTGGAGATTTCAGAATTTTCATAGTTGAAATCATGAGTCGATTGAAGCTAGACCACCATGGGAAAACTAGAGGGGCGTTTCGTCCTATTGTGGGACTCCTCAGCAGCGCGCATCCACGACCTCGCCTCGCGAGATTCGAACCCAGGACCCACCAATCTCGCGTCAGAGCACATAACCGATAGACCACTGAGCTTCCAGGCATTCCATGGTGGTCTAGCTTCAATTGACTCATGATTTCAACTATGAAAATATGCATTATAATTAGTCAGTGACGAAAACTCCACGTTGATCCCATCTACACAGTAAATATTTTTTATCGAGTAGAAACAGAAGCCATGAAAATAAACTAATAATCAACAATTAGCCGAACAAACATACATTATACACATTCATCCACTAAATTTTCCCATACACTTCATTGACAACAATATCAATGATTCCAAAACGAAAACCATAATTCTGACAAGTGAAACTTTATATATATATATATATATATATATATATATATATATATATATATATATATATATCATCAAAGTTACAAAAGAAATAAAGAATAATAAATAATATGCTTTAACACCTTCGGAGCATAACATAAAAGCAACAATAACAAAGATAACAGATAAGGAGGGAGAAAGAAGAATCACATTCTTTGAGAATTTCAATAATTATTATTATTATCAGTGTAGTGAAACGACGACAACTATAATAGAGCAGAAAATTTGAAAAAAAAATTTTGTTTTAAAAAAATGAATTGTCTAATTTTGTATTTATAGAAATGCAAAATAAATCACAATAAATAAGGAGTGATTGATTAATGAATTCGGTGAAGCCAATTAACAAGTGTATTAGTGAATGAATGAATATAGGAGATCAGTAGATGGTAACAAAAAAAAAGTAATCCCCATTGAAATTAGGTAGTAACAATGATGATGGTTGCATGTCATATAATATGGCAAACACACAAAACAAAATATACTTATTATTACTAATACAATAGAATCCTATGAAATAATAAACAATTAATGATTGAAACAATCATGAACAGATTGAAAACTAACTAATAAATAATATTCTACAAGTAAGTAAGTAAATAGGCAAGTAGGTATAAGTTAAACTAAATAATCAAACGATACAGAAGAAGGGAAAACAGAGAAACAAACGTGAAAAAAGACAGTAGCATAAGACAGAAATGAATAAATTAAATACATTTTAATCAAGAATACACATACACATGTGCATGTAAAACTAGAAAGAGAGAAATTTTTATTCTGAGGACTAAGTGGAAAACGCATTTGCCTTTTGTTTTTAAAAGTTATATCCAAAGAGAAAACAACAACGGCAATGAAAATAGTAATATATATATAATGGGAATGATAAAGAATCCTCATTGCTCATCATCATCATCATTAATGTCATAAATCTATTTTTTGCCAAGATGAAACAACATTGCAATTTAAATTATAAAGAATGTCCCATTGGATTGGTCCATAATGGTCACATTAACAATGATCAGATTATCAATTGAATATATAAACAATAATAGTGACAATGAAGACAAAACAATTCGATTCAGATCAATTGTTCAATGAGTTTGACTAAATGAGACGAGACGATTTCTCTTGTACTGCGAATAGTTAGGCAATACATCTAAAAGAATAAAAGAAATAAGAAGGAAACGAGAAAAAAAGATTTTTAATTTATTAAACGAAAGAAAAACAGAGGTAACTAGTTAGACCAATTATGTGCAGTTGGTAGTGTACACAGATCAGTGAAAAACATTAATTACTTATTTGTTTATTTCAACACATAGATATTGGTACAAAGGGGCACCAGACACACATGCACTACACAAATCTTATTTGATTTGTGTGAGGGCTGTGATACTGCCCGGGTGTCCAAACCGAAACAGGTTGTGAAAAACATCCGATTGATGAAGAGATTTAGACTTATTTGTATTATAAAAGCCTATAATTAGATGATAAGTATTCATAATGATACAATTGCATTGAACTTCTCCTACATTGTGCATACAGAAAGTAATGAACATGTATTTTATATTGTAACAATCAAATTGCGATTTGCTTTTTCACCTAGTTCACATGTAATCAATATTGTTGTATTAATATTACATTTCTTATTTCTGTACTAATAACAGAGCAAATTTATTTGAATTTAATTATATCAGAGTAATGTAACTTATTTATCAAGTACAATTTCAAGTGAATACTTTTGAAGTGAGGGTTAATGATAATAACTATTATGACTGTAACGTTATTTGATATCTGGAAAAAGATCCAACAATAAAAACCATAGTTACAGTTTCTCTACGTAGAGTACACTATCCTGTCCATAACTTATCATCTTAAATCTTGATCAATGATAAGTTTCGACTGGCAACATTAATTTTGAGTTGAGGCCCAGCTAATTGTAACCCTTATTGCTCCAACGATATACAGGCCTTCTAACATCCGCAGTCATGAGTTTCAATAGCACAACAGAAAAACCAAGATAGCTTCTATTACGATATTTCAGGCACCTAGTATGTTTAGAAACATTTATTAGGTTATGTAGAAGAATTATCAGACTGAGAATCACCCCCAATTAAGAAATCATCTTTCATACACAATCGTGAAATAAGTAACAAGAAATGAAGTAAACACCATTTAACAATCAAAAAAGAGTATTAAAACGTGTCACAAAATTCAGTAGGTTTAAAGTAAGCTCACAATATTAGGTACATAAAAATACAATAGTCCAGTAATTTAATAAATAAACAGTGAAAATTTGAACAATAATAGTCAGAAAAATAGATCCAAACATTCCAACTGCTTCAATACTCGCTTTGTTACAACACTATCTAACTGAAATAGGTGAAGTGGGATTGAGTAGTTTAACCACTGTTTTAAATTTTTCCGCATAATTTAAATATCTTATCGGAAGTTCGAGTTTGAAGATAATAGGTTCCATATAGCCGATTTTTTTAAAAATGTATCACATGTTTCGGTTGTTTTAACAATGATTTCGGTTTAGAATTATGAAACGAAGTGATGTTTAGACAACAAATCAAAAAATTCCCTATAGCTAAGGGTAATTTCACTAAAACAAAGTATTTTAGTACACAAACAAATGATATCTCCGAAATTTCTATTTTAAAATTATATTAGTTTTTAAAAACAAGTAGTATGACGAGTGAGGAATAATTTTTTGCCATGCTATCGCAAAAAGACGACATTCACAAATCATCTATCCACTTATTAAGGTTATCAGAAGAAAGAATTTGACAAGAAACAGTTAGTGCTTAACAAACCATTTGATCGACTTTTTATCATGCACAAACATGAATAACAATTTTCGAATATTTCAAGAACATAAATGAGGATCATAAAGAAGAAAAGAGGATGATTTCGAAAGTTATTAATTAGACAGCACTTCAACATATAAACATAACTTCAACCTTATAGTAACATCAAGATTATCAACCCATTGGACACAAACTAGACAACAAAGGCTAGGTACAGGAGAGATGCTGCTGTACTCCTGTCATGAAGGGGAAAACGCTCCACACACTCAGGGAGTTGCTCTAATGCTGTCCAAAGAAGCACGAAATGCACTTGTGGGATGGGAATCTCATGGACCCAGGATAATCAAAGCATCATTCAGAACAAAGAAGCAAGGGGTCACAATGAACGTTATCCAATGTTATTCACCCACCAATGATAGCAACGACGATGAT